AATGTGGGGTGTGGAGTAGTGTCCTGAGCTACACAGAAACTCGGGCTCTAACACATGCTGACTGGAAGGCACCTTAGCTCTTGTGCTTGAGGCCTCCTGCTGGGTACCATCCTTGCTGCTAGGCTGGGTCTCAGTCACTGGGGAGCCTGGAATAGTTGCCTGTTGCTAGACGTGGGGCCTCACCTATGCAGTCTGCTGCTTACTGGTGAAGCTGGTCCCTGCTGTCAGGGAGGGTAGGGGATCCTTGTTTTTAGGGTGCTGCCTGGTCACATCCAGGGAAGGTGAGTTCTGTTGCTACAGTACCCTAATGTCCATGTCCCACTCCCTACCTCCTCCAGGTGAGCCCAGTCCCATTTCTTTGCAAGCAGGGTTAAGGCCTGCTCTGCCTGCTTTGTCTCCTGGCTGACCATTGGTTTGTCCCTGTCTGAATGGGGACATTAATTGATGCTAAACATGACTGTTCAGTATCCATCCCAGGCAGCTCACCCTAGCTGAACAGTGAGTAAGAAGGGGCTGGAGGTGAGGAGAGGCGTTTCACTCTCGGCTGCCACTGCCCTGTATCTAGGCTTTGAGCTGCTGTACCAGCCCGAGGTGGTACGTCTCTACCTCTCGCTCCTTACGGAGAGCCGGAACTTCAACACCCTGGAAGCTGCAGCTGGTGCCCTCCAAAACCTCAGCGCTGGCAACTGGACGGTGAGGAGTCAGGTTGGCAGGGAGGGCGAGACCCAGACAGAGGGAATTCCAGACACCCCACTGGTTCTGCCTCAAGCCCTTGCCTCCTTCTGGGCCAGTGGGAGAAGAGGGGACACAGCACCCCCTCAGGATCAGGAGGCTGTGAACACTGCCCTGGCCAGTGTGGCTGCTGTGGAGCTGTTGGTGTAGGTGTTGTGCAAGGCCACTCCCCTCTGAGCAGTCACCTCCGGTGCTACCCTCACAGTGGGCCACATACATCCGTGCCACAGTGCGCAAGGAACGTGGGCTGCCGGTGCTGGTGGAACTGCTTCAGTCTGAGACCGACAAGGTGGTTCGTGCTGTCGCCATCGCGCTGCGCAACCTTTCACTAGACCAGCGTAACAAAGACCTCATTGGTGAGGATGCTGTTGTCATAAGTGGGGCAGGTGTTGGGGACAGAATGCTGGAGGATGGAATGCAGGGAACCAGATTCCTCCCACATGCTTGGGCTGGTCCTGTGCTGAGCTGTAGGAGCTTAGGTCTTCCTCCCCTGGTCCCGAGGCTCAGCCTGCTAGTAGAGGTTATGGCTGTCCTGGTGATACCTTCTGTCTGGATGCTGCTCCTTCCCACAGGGGTAGGGCGGAGATGTGCCCTAACATCTGACCCTGCCTCTTAGGGAGCTATGCCATGACGGAGCTGGTTCGGAATGTCCGCAATGCACAGGCTCCTGCCCACCCTAGTGCCCTCCTGGAGGAGGATACGGTGGTAGCTGTGCTCAACACCATCCATGAGATTGTGTCTGACAGTTTGGACAATGCTCGCTCCCTCCTACAGGCCCGAGGTGTGCCTGCGCTGGTGGCACTGGTGGCCTCCAGGTGCGTGAGGGCACGGCCTGCTGAGGGCTGGGTGGGTTTGGGGGTGGAGGGAGACTGGGAAGCAGTAGGTCACTGACCCCAACCCTGGCTCCACCGCTGCAGCCAGTCAGTGCGGGAGGCCAAGGCAGCGTCGCACGTGCTGCAGACTGTGTGGAGCTACAAGGAGCTGCGTGGAGCCCTGCAGAGGGATGGCTGGACCAAGGCGCGGTTCCAGGTGCAGCTGCCCGCCTTCGCTCTCACTTTGCCAAGTCTGTCCCCAAGCAGAAGTGTCTTCTGCCTTACGTCTTATTTGTGTTTTTTGCCTCTTTAGTCTGCTAACACTGCCAAAGGACCCAAAGGAACACCAAGTTCTGGGGGCTTTGATGACAGCACACTGCCACTGGTAGACAAGAACCTTGGTGAGCACAAGCTGGGGAGAGGGCCATGACACTTATCCCTGAGGCTTAAGAGTAGCTCCTACCTGCTAATGCACAAGGTAGGTGGGGTCAGGGAGACAGGACAGACTCCTGACACAGGACGCTGAGCACTGTCCTAGGCGAGCCTGTCCGCTTTGCCCTCCCAGCGCCTGCTAACTGCTCACAGAAACCCGCTTGTGCCTTGCAGATGGGGAGAAGCCGGCCACCCGAGATGTGATCCCCATGGATACACTTGGGCCTGGTGAGTGCAGGAAAGACGACTGCAGGGGGACACCTGGTTTCATGGAGTGATCCTGGCTGGTGCTGGGGAGGCCTTGCTATGATAAAATGTCAGTTGGAGAAAAAGATAGGTAGTTTGGGGTCAGGGCTGGTTGGAGCTGTCACTGGGCCCAGAAGTCCCTGTCCCAGGGTTTTCTGTATCTGGGCTGAAGATCACCTTTCCCCATGCTGACTTCCCTCATTCCCTCCTTGGTTCCACCCTACAGATGGGTATGCCACAGTTGACCGGAGGGAACGGAGGACACTGGGCAGTGACTCCACAGGGGAGGCCTCTGAGAAGGAGCTGTTGAAAGTGAGTGAAAATTACCAAGTACCCAGGAAGGCTTCATGTCTTGGGCTTGTCAAGAGAACAGCTAGGCAGTGCTGAGTTTGATCAGGGCTCAGGGACATGGCTGGAGTGGCACTCACGTGCATGGCCCAGGAAGTAGCCCATGGTGCTGAGGGGTCAAGTGTGCAAAGGAGTGGACAGGAGCAGCTCTGCACAGCCACAGGCTGCATAGGACCAGAGAGTCTGAGCAAATGGATTTGTACCCTTCTTTTATATGTGTGTGTGTGCAAGGTGTCCACTGTGGTCCCCTGGAAAGGCCAGTACCTGCTGTCTACTCTGTGCCAGTATCCTGGCTTCATATACCAGCCTCTGGGTATATCCATGAAACATTCCATACTAGTGTGAGCCATAGCAGTTCCAGAGCTTGATTTCCCTGTACTGCCTTGGCAGGCCCTCATTTTATCCCTTTCTTGTCCATATCGACCAGCCTTAGCCCCCCTTAGCTGCAGTTAACCTGCTTTTTTTTTTCTGCTTCTAACTCCTGTCTGCCCACCCATCATGCACTGCAGCCCGACCCTGGCAGGAAGGCCCCTCCATCTGGGCCCAGCAGGCCCTCGGTCAGGCTTGTGGACGCCGTGGGGGACGCTAAACCTCAGCCAGTTGACTCCTGGGTCTAGCTTGCATGCCTGGTACGTTCCTTCATCTGGTTGGTTTGCCCACCCTTGGACTGGGGCTTCTTGTTCATCTCTGCTTGCTGCATGCTGGGCTCCCTGTGTGATCCCTGGCAGGACCCAGGCAACAGGAGGGTCCTCCCAGAGCTCACAGCCCTGTTCCAGCCTCCGGAGATCAGGGTCCTGACAGGCCCCCTACTCCCTCAAATACCTGCAGCACATAGCTTTGTGAGGACCAGCAAGAAAGGTCTAGTCCTGGTGTCAAGGCTCTTGGCATGGCCCATCCTTTGTTCCACAGCCACTGCTTCTATGTGTCCCCTGGAGTCAGCTGCCCTGTGTGGAGGCTCAAAGTCATCCTGCTACATTTTGCTGGCTCTGTGGCCTGTCTGGGCTCCTAGCTAAAGCATGTCTTTGTCTCTCTTTGCAGTGCCCTGGCTCAGCTGTCTGTTCTTAGGGATCACATCGAAGTAGCTGGGAGAGGGCCGTCTTGAGCAGACCCAGTCACGGAGCCAGGAGCCCTTTTGTGGCGGGCTGGGCTTGGCCGAGCCTCCTGTCCCAAGCCAGGGCCCGACTTTATGGATATCCCTCTTGTCCTACCTTACTCTCTTCTCCACTCTCCTGATCTAACTCTCCAGGCCTGAGTTAACTGTTTACTGACATGGTGCTGTGTGGTGGTCGAGGTGGAGGGCAAGGTCCCCATGCACAGTGTCACAGAGGAGCAAATACAAGCCTGGAGTGGAGGTCCTGGAGCAGGCAATGGGACAAGTAAGGGGCTGTGGAAGAGAATTTGAGCTCCCAAGGGTGGCTGGAGTACTACCTTGCATGCAGGCTGACCACAATGAGGGCTGCTACAGGGATCCAGGCAGGGAGGTTTAGGAGGCAGCCAGCTGAGGGGCAAGCTGTGCTTGTCCCCAGCACCCTGTCCTTGGATTTCTGGGACACCTTCCCTCTGCAGCATACTCCTCCTAAGCTGCCTGTGGCCGGGACTACCCTGACTGTTGCATCTGCCTAGAACCTCAAGTAACCTCGGGGCCTGACTGCCCGCAGCAGCGGGGAACTGCTGTTCAGTGCCTGCTGTTTGTGACTTTAAAATGAAGAAAACTGAAAACAAAACAAAACAAAACAAAAAACCATTAAAAAATGAAACCAAAATAAGACTGTATCCATAAACATTGAAAATTTTTTAAGAAAATTTAAAGATTAAAAAAGCAGCAAAGGAACTGCCTGTGTTCTGACTCACCAGAAGAGGTTGACCCGCTGAGTTACCCAGACCACTGCTGCCACCTGGCGGCAACACTGTTCCCTCAAGTCCCCTTGTGGTGATAGGGAGGAGGGAGGGAAGGGAGGCTCCCCACTGCCCTGCGCAGGCTTCCTACTTGTCTACTGGCTCTTGTTGGCACCCTCAGTCTAGGAGGGGTGTGCTGGATGACCGATCTGGGCACGGGGGGGGGGGATGGGGGAACCAGCCCAGATGGAGTTGATCGTTGTGTTTGGCCGAGATGGGCCCCTACTGAGGCCCTGAAGAGGTGGGGGTGCGGGGTTAGGGCAACTGTAATAATGGGCTGATGCTTCCTCAGCAGTGGGTGCCTGGCAGTCATGCACCTGTGGCCTGAGCCCACTTCCTCCTCTGTAGGCCAGGAAGTAGGACCGAGAGACTGTTTCTCCTGAGTGTCACAAAGGGTAGAGAGCAACAGCTCCCTGTGTCATGGGCCATACCCCCTAATCCCAACCTGCCTGCTTAGTCCGAGACAGGTGCAAAGGCTGTCTGCCTGTCCAGTGTTATGCAGTGTGGTAGTTGAGAAGAATAACTCAGGGCATCTCTTGTATCCAAATATTTAGATCTTTAATTTTTTTTTTTAATAATATAAAAGAGGTTACAACACTTTTTAAGACAAGAGTCTGTGTAGCCCTGGCTGTCCTAGAACTCAACATGTAGACCAGGCTAGCCTTGAGCCCAGATCTGGCTGCCTCTGCCTCCTGGATGCTAGGATTAAAGGCATGCACGACTACAGCTGGAAAGTTTATGACTCATTGTTATTTTTAATCTATTTAATTTTATGTGTGTTGGCGTGTGGGTGTTAGACCCCCCCCCCGAAACTGAAGTTACAGTTGTGAGCTGCCATGTGGATGCTAGGAAATGAACGCAGGTCCTCTGGAGGAACCACCCATGCTCTTAACCACTAAGCCCCATGACTCATTCATAAGATGAAATGTGGTATGAGTTGCTGGTGACAGTACTGTCTCTGAGGTGCTGCCATTTGGTGACAACCAAACGGTATCTGGGTGTTTTCAATTTCCTGACTTCTAGCTGTTCACACCATCAGGATGACACCTGCTCTGATTGTTTTGAAATCTCAATTTCTGTTGTTTGATGCTGAGGATTAACCTTGAGGCCTCTGCACGCTGGGCAGGCACTGTGAGCAACTGCACCTCTAGCCTCAATGTAGCCTTTTATCCACAGGTGCCTTCCAGGTTTACTGTGGTGGTTCTGCAGTGAGCTCACTACCTTTAAAATGTGTGTGTGTGCAACAATCTGGAGCCACAGCCCTGGAGGGCAGGTTCCAGAAGCATAGAAGGGGTCAGTGTGAGTCATCTTACAGACGGAAGCTTGGAAGGGAAGCTGGGTGGTCAAGACTTTGCAGGGCTGCTTGGACCCTTGTAGATTGCCTTCTCCATGCCGTCTACTACGTTCAAGTACTCCAGGTATGAGCTGTAGTGTGTGCACTCAAAGCTGCCGCTCCCCCTCACATACTCCAGGAAGTTAGGGGTGCCCGGGAGGATGACATTGTCAGCTAGGAGCACTGTCCCCTTGCGCAACAGGCCACATTCCTGCAGGGACAGACAGTCAGGGTCAGGAATGTTTGACAAACACAGTGCAATAGGAGGGGAGGGCAGGGAGCGCGGGGCACTGCTCCCCCATTGGAGCCACTTCAAACTGCTATCCATTCTCCCTGTATCCATTCCCAGCCCTACGGGGCCATGTGGGCTACACAGTGAACGTTTGGAGGTTGGCTGGGTGGAAGAGATGGGGCCAGAAGGCCAGATCCCCTCCAACACTCTATGCCAAGAATATGGGATCTTCACCAACACCCCTGCCCTTCAAGATCCACCTAGGGCAGGGAAGACAGTAGGTGCTGGGCTCTGAGCAGGGCCTCTGGGACCCTGAGGCAGAACCTGTGGTTGAGAGAAACCCCACATTTAGGGTGCCTGTCTATCCCCTCTGGGAAGTGTGTCTGCTGATTACGTATTAATAACTGAAATGACTGACAAGAGATGGTGTCTTGGGGGGGAGGGGGAAGGGGGAAGAAGAGAGGGGAGAGCCAGGAAGCGAGACACCTGAATATCTCATTTGAAGGTTGCCCAGGAGGCTCAGAGGGTTGTTTTTAATGTAATCATGAAACAAAGCAGTTGTGTCTGGTGGGGTCACATCTGCAGCCTCAGCAGCCAGGAGGCTGAGGCTCCCGGCTACCCTGGCCTACAAAAGACGCTTGTCTTCAAACGCATAAAGAAAGCAACCTAAAAATGAAAAGTAAAACCCAGTAAGTAGCCTGGGCTGAAGTGTAACTCAGTGGGAGGAGCCTAGCAGGTGTGATCCAAGGGTCTATTTCCAGCACCACACACACAAACATAAAAACGCCTCATTATCCTAATGCCCCACACTGAAGACTACAGCAGTGCTGTAGTCTCAACAGTCGTTCAGGGCTCCAGCTAGTCCTAGTGGCTATGGAGGTGGATGGTGATCTCCAGCCTGTGGGCTCTCAGCGAGCTGAGGAACTCTCAGGCTGGCTGGCAAATCCAGGGGATAGTCTCTCACACTACAATGTGAATGAGTCTCACTATGATCATGACATACTCTGGCTTAGGAGAACTAAGAACGTCATGTCAGCACTGGTTGGAAAGACCTCATTGAAGAACTGCTCTGGAGGAAGAAGACATCTGCCCAATCCAGAGAGGGCCCTGCAGTTCAGGGTAGGAAAGGAACAAGAGGAGCAGGGAGTTCCTAGGCTCAGCCAGGGGCCTGGAGACATGGAGAGCCACATGATGACTGTAAGACTAGTGACATGAGACATAAAACTTCCTGATTGCATCCTGACAGCAAGGCATGCACTTCTGGAGGTGCTGGGGAGCCGCTGCCCTTCGGGAAGCATGCCTTGCCGGAGGACAGTGCCTGCCCTACCTGTATTCAGATACCTGTATTCAGAGCCTCCTGAAAGACCTCTCTGACCATCCAGGGGATTACAGGTGAGCGTGCACTGGTGCCTGAGCAGCTGTGCTAAGGGGACAGTAGAGTACAGAATGCTGTGGGTAAGATGTCTGCCTCCAACAGATGATCCTCCTGCCTCCAAGTACTGAGACTGTCCGTGTGTACCGCTAAGCCTGGTGGTGAAGTAGTTTTAGTTGTGAACACCAATATTTCTTTTTTTAAAAAGATTTATTTATTATTTATATAGTATTCTGCCTCCATGTGTCCCTGCAGGCCAGAAGATGGCACCAGATCTCACTATAGATGGTTGTGAGCCACTGTGTGGTTGCTGGGAATTGAACTCAGGACCTTGGGAAGAACAGACAGTGCTCTTAACCTCTGAGCCATCTCTCCAGCCTGTGAACACCAATCTTAAAGGTGCTTCCTCAGGGTTCAATTTCCTGCAACCATACATTGAAAAAAAAAAAAAAAAAAAAGTGCACCCATTCCTGATGTATTCTTTTCTTTTGGAGCTAATTGTCAGCTTTGAGCAGCAGAGCTAAAAACTGTTAGTTTCCTAGTTACTGAACAGCAATATTTGCTTTTCTAAAAGGAGACCTGTAATTACCACACACAGAAAGCTGCAGAGCCCCATTCCCTATGCTGTGGTCGGCTCTCCTGCCCAGGTGGAGCCTGACTGCTCAGCTGTCCTCTGCCCTCAGTAGGGAACCTCATGTTCACAAAGTCTGCCAGGGATGGGCCCTTGTCCGAGCCAGCTTCGCATGGTTGGCCTGGCCTGCTGGTCTCCTTTCTATCCCCTGACTGCATGCCCTCTTGGTAGAAACAGAATCTCTGGTACGACTTCTTGGCCCAGGAATATTCTTGCCTCCCACGCTGTGCTCACTACTTCGAAAATAATTTGAGGAACCTCTAAAATAACCTCCCCACTCACCCTGTCTATGCCTCCACAAGGTCAACAAAAATCCTATTAGATGCTAGGACTCATCTCCCATCATGTAGAGCTCGTGCCTGACTTTGCCTTTGTGCCCTTATATTCACCAGAGCTGTCTGAATCATGCCTAGGACACAGTGGCCCTGTCCTACCCCTGGCCTTGCTGGCAGATTCTCTCACATTCTGGACCCGACTATACATGGCAGGGTGTCCAACTCTTGAGACAGCTGTGGCTGGTCAACACCACATGGACAGCCCCATGTTGGCTGTGGAAATCTGTGAGGAGACCCAGTAAATAAAGACCAAGGAGCCACTCCATGTCCCTCTGCTGGCCACCAAAGCAGGACAAGGTAATATACCCTTAAGCTCTAGTCACTTGTGAGTGAGAATGGCTTCTTCAGTCAGAGCAGGGGGTTCCTACTAGGTGAAGCTGGCTGAGCAGCAGTGCCAAGGGCTGAAAGGGCCTAGGGAGAGTGGAGTGTTGTGCTTCCTGAGAAAGATCCAGAACATGCCTGCATTCCTGCAGCCAGCGCCAGTTGACCCCAGTCACACCGTACGGCAGCAGTTCCACCCCCTTAGGTACTCTGCTCTGTGTTCTTCAGGCCCACGTGTTCTGATCTCTGATGCCCACCCCACTCCCTAGCAGCACCCTGCTTTCAGTGCCTGGCATCCTACCGAGAACCCCTTCCCTTCCATCTCTACTTGCCACAGGGCCTTATAGCCCACTGGACTGGCAGACTGTTCCTGGGCCTCCCTCAGCAGGGCTCTTCAGGGAGGCCAAGGCCCAGTGACCGAAGGAGTGACAGCACAGAAGCCATCCCACTGAGCAGGGACAGTTTGGCTTACCTGCAGGAGATGTGTGTCTGGTAGGTAGCGGTCTTTCCAGTGGTCAAGAAAGACCATATCTAACGTGTCCACATTGTACTTCTTCTTCAGCTGGGGGATGAGGTCCTGGGATGCCCCGAGGAGGATGGTGACCTGGAACAGTGTTATGTCAGTGCTGTTCCCACAGGATGTGCAGAAGCCTGCCTGGCCCTCCACCTGTGTGTACATCTCTTTGGGGCTCTGGAGAGGAATCTGCACCGTATAGTCTCTCCGAGTTCAGCCCTGGAAGTTGCATGCTTTGTAGGGATAGGTCAGTAAAACTGTGTCTCTTACCTGCTGGGGTTCCTCCCTTGACTCTAAGGGCCCAGACATGGCAGGTGCTTAGTGACTGACCCAGGACCTACCTCATCCTCCCCTACTGCCTGCCCAGCTCTCCCTACAATGGCTGCCACACTGGTTACAGGGCCATACCTTGTCCTGCATGCCTGCAAAGTCCAGCATTTGCTGGGTGATGGCAGCATAGTCAGGGTTCATCTCCATGGTGAGAAGCCTGCCTCCAGGTGGCAGCAGGCGGGCCATTCGCACGGCTGAGTAGCCACAATAAGCTCCTAGCTCCAGCACCAGCGAGGGGCTGTACTCCCGAATCACTGCATCCATAATTTGGCCTGGAGGGTGGTGAGGAGGATATAAGTGCAGGTAGAAAGAGGGGAACCCCATCCCCAATTCTGGGCCTCACCCCTCTCCAGACTGGTAACATTCCCACTCTTCTCATGTTTCTAACCTGAAACGTTTTTATCCCCCTGTTGCTTCTGACCTGCTGAGACAGGGCCTCTGCCTCCTGATACCCCAGAGGATCCACTGTATACACCCTTGCAGAGTCCTCCGGGCCTTTGCACACATAGAGACCCTTCTCGTCCACCTACCTAGCTCCTTCAAGTGTAAATGTTATGGTCTCCAAGGGGGCTAGACAGGAGCAAGGCCCACAATTCCCACCCTCTTTAACAGGCTTTTCTGCAACAACTGCCATACGCAGGGTCCCCATTTCTAGGCCATTGCCTGCAGGCTGGGCCACCTACCTTTCGTGGCACCCACATTCATGGCCCACTCCTTCTGTGAGCAGTAGGCATCGATGGCCTCCAGGACGCTCTGGGGGTCTCCAGGCTTTGCGTGCTGCTTCACATGGCGCAGGATGCGCTGCTCCTTTGTGTCACCCATGAGCAGGTCGTAGACTGGCTGCTGTACGTTCTCAAACCAGAAGATAGCTACAGAGCCCCAGCCCAGGCGTTGCAGGAGCAGGAAGAGAGCCAACAGGAGACCCAGTGAGATGACAGCCAATAGCATCTGCAGGGAGCAGGGTAGACAGACTTTGTGTCCTATGCCCTTCCTACTTCACCCACCCTGTACTTAGCTCCATGCACCATTGGTCCCTTGTGCTAAAGGAGGTCCAAGGTTCAGAGACTAAACCCACATGACTTGGTGCCTCACTGAATCAGCCACGTGAGACTGTGGCTGGTCAGAGGAGGTGCATGTGTGCCTCTTGGAGTCCTGTGTAGAGGACTGAGGCATGGTCCCCAAGCCACAGTGCTTTTTCCAGGAAGAAAGGTCTCATCTTACACTAAACTAGCATTCTGATTGTTTCAGGCTGAAAGAGGAAGTGTGTGTGTGCGTAGGATGTGCACCTATTTGTTCCTATGTGGGTTGGCAGAATGTGAAGATTTCCTGGGAGGGGCTCCTCTAACACCAAGACGGAAAAATAGCCTTTATTAAGCAGAGACTGTTAATGGGGCTGGGACCTGAATGAATGATCTTGTTGGGGTGACCCTCATCTTCCAAATGGCTTCACAGCCTCCACAGATCACCAAATGATATTCCTAAGAATATCATTCTTAGAATTCAATAAGAATTCACAAGCCAGAGAGCTGTGTCCTATGTTTCCGTACAAAACTATCATTCTTTGCCTCAGACAGTAGGAAAGCTGTGGCCCTTGTTCTATATTTTCTTTTGGTTATGGAGGGAACTCTGGGTGTGTGGTGTAAGCTAACCTCCATTATCAGCCCCTGTTTTCTTGAGCCAGACTATATAGCCCAGGCTGGTCTTGAACTCATAATCTTCCTGAGGGTTGGGATTAAGGTATGCACCATGTCCAATGTTTTTTGTTCATTTCTCTGGGCCACATCTCCTTGTGGAAATCTCTGGGGCTATGCAAAATTAGTAAGATATATGAGCTCTACTCTTGCTCAGAAGCCTTGTAGTGACTGACTTACTTGGCTGAAGACCCACAAAGGAGCTAAGTGAGATACCGGGACCTCTTCCGATTGCGGTAAGGAACAGCTGTAGATTCCAGATCCTCCAAAAGCACACAAGGGTTGGGTGAGCTGAATGCTATAGTGTTTACCTAGCACACATAAGGGCCCGAGTTCCGTCTGCAGCACAAGGTGTGAGTGAATAAGCAAGAAGCCCAGGATCTAACTGGCAAAGCTCACCAGAGTTCCCACAGCTGACACTGGGCAGAGATCAGTAAATTCATAGCAAAAGCTTGTGAGTTCACGCCAGCGACCCTAAGACTGAAAATACATAAGGAACTAGGGATCCTTCCACCAAAGACTGTGGCCATTTTCAGTTCCTTTCAGGACAGTGTGCTGGTGACCACACAGAACCTGATCTAGGCTGGAAAGTCTGTGAAAGAATCTCAAGAGGAGGGGGTCCAAGCCCTAGGTGTGATGGCTATTTCACAACAGTCTCAGGAGAGAACAGAGAGACCTGAAAACCGAGGCTTCGTAGCACACATGTTCACGGAGCTTATTTCCACAAGTGCTCACATGGTTTCAGGTCCGCATGTATGCTGGGCCTGAACGCACACTCACCCACAGGCTTCCCTCAGTCATGTGACCTCATATCCAAGCACTTGCCCTTATAATCTGTAGGAAGGCCTGGACTCCTTTTATTGAGCTGAGGAGACATAAAAATTATATGAAATTCTAAGGAACTCAGTTTGGCCTTTGGCCAATTTTTTGACAGAAACTGGCCTATAAATGACCAAGGTCCAGTTATTTTAGCACTTTCCCAGTCAGAGTGTAGGTATCACTCAGAAGACACCCCAGCCAGGGACCCTGTTGTCACATGTTCCTTGGGAGAAGCTGAAGAAAGAGTTTTGATCAGGCCATAGCTCCCACCCCCACACACCAACAGCTAGTTACAGAGCACATGTAAGCCCACAGGACACTACCCAGGGGAACAATGGCCCTTGTGACCATTATGCCACTTACCAGTAAAGGCCACGAGTGGGCGCAGCAAAGTGGGAAAGGTGCCAGAACCCGGCTGAGAGGCTGAGTGCCAGGATTGCTGGCATATACCTGACATGAAAGGCTGAGTGCCAGGATTGCTGGCATATACCTGACTCCGGCTTTATTTTACCCCTTTCTTATGGCTTAGATTTCCTAATGTGCTTGGGTGTCTTAGTTTATGCTATCCATTATCATCACTAGAAGTAGCATTGCAGTGGTGAGACAATGAGCTATATTGTTCATCTGTTTCTCTCCTTCTCTCTCTCTTTCTCCCTCATCCATCAATCCATCAATCTCTCTCTCCCTCATCCATCAATCCATTCATCCATCCATCTAAAAATCCAGTTAGGGAGGTAGCTCAGGAGATTGCCTAACATGACAGGCTGGGCAGTACAATCAAGAGTTTGAGGTCAGCAAACTCTTGATGTTGGTACATTACATATATATGTATAGATTATATATACACATTAATATATAGTTAAGCCAGGCAGTGTTGGTGCATGCCTTTAATCCCAGCTCTTGGGAGACAGAGGCAGGTGGACATCTGAGTGCAAGGCCAGCCTGGTCTTCAGAGTGAGTTCCAGGATAGCCAGGGCTTCACAGAGAAACCCTGTCTTGAAAAACCAATAAATAGATAGGTAGATAAACATTTAATATATAGCAACTCTATCAGTTTTGTTCTTCTAGAAATCCTTAAATAATACAGCCCCCACTTCCTCTCAAAAGTCTTGCCCCCTGTTTGGTGGGGGGGGGGGTGTTCCCTAGAGTGCAGGCCTGCTTTGTGCAGCTGTGAGGAGCAGGTGGAGACATGCCTACCTGGCCATGGGAAAAGGGGGCAGATCCATACTTACTTGGCCACTGAGAGCAACTGCCAGACTCAAGCAGTCTTCCTAGGGTTTTTGCAGAACAAAAGAACTTGCAAGTGAGAAAGTATTTGTGGAAGTGCATGCCTGTACTCCCAGCACTCAGAACTGGGTGGGCTACAGTGCAGCCTGTTTCTCAAAAACCAGAAAATCTGAAGTGAGGAAATGGAAGCAATAAGAACTGGGGTAGCTCCAGGGTCTTACAACTCCATTAAAAGATGAAACGGCTCCTGTCATCTGGAGTCTGTGTGGACCACAGCTCTGAGTTCTACTCTGCAGACTCCTGGAATCCACTGTTCAGGAGTTCTGGGCAAGGGCCAGGCTCTGCAGATCACACATTTAGCTGATCAGGAGAGCAGAAAACTGGAGTGGAACGTCAGCAACTGAGCTGGAATGGAAGACCTGCTGGTGGTAACCCTGTTAATACTAAAGCTTTAAGACTCTCAGAACCCAGATCAGTCTACCGACTTAATATAACCTTTACCAAAATCTCAAGGGCATTTTTTTTCAGTAGAGAAGTCTATGCTAAGCTTTACTGAATCTCCAAGAAGTATAAACAACCAAATTAATCTTGAGAAAGAAGTACAAAGGTGAAAGACTTAATTTCTTATTTAAAACTAACTACAAAGCTACAGTAATTAAAACATTGTGGTAAGCCAGTTTGGTACTATGAATATCTGTAATCCCAGTACTCAAGAGTTTGAAGAAGATCATGAGTTTGAGGCCAGCCTGGGCCATACTAGATTGCCTCAAATCAATCAATCAAATCAATAAAAATTTAAAAAAAGTAAAAGAGGCTTCAGGGCTTGGGTGTAGCTCTGTGGTAGAATGCTTGTCCAACATAACATGCACAGTGTTTAAAAACTAGGGCACAGGAAGAGGCTGGGATGCAGGTCAGTTGGCAGAGCGCTTGCCTGGCCTAGCCCTGGGTTCCAGCCCCACACCAGTTTAGCATGCTGGCACACTGCTATGATCCTAACATCCAGGAGATGAAGACTGGTAGGTCAGAAGTTCAAGATCATCCTTGGGAGTTCAAGGACAGCCTGGAAACAGAAGATCCTGTCTCAAAAGCCTTTCGCTAAAGAGTCTGAACATCGTTAGTTACTGAGGAAATGCCTATCAAAGCCATGTGGGAAAGAGTATCTCACCATCACTGAAATGGCTTATTTCTGGGGTGAAACACCGGGGATTGCACACAAGGCTTCACTGAGCTACATTGCCAGCCACTTATTTTGAGACAAGCTGTCATTAAGTTGTCCAGCTGGCCTTGAGTTTACAATCTTCCTGCCTCCAGCTCCCAAGTATCTGGGTTACAGGCCTGTACCACCAGGCCTGATTTTTTTTTCTATTTTAAAGTAAGACAGTAAAGTTGGTAAAAATATGAAAAAAATTGAAACCCTTGTATCCTGCTGAGGTGAAAACTGCTGGAAAGTTTTATGGTCCCACAGAGGCTATCCAAAGAATCACCATGTGTCAGAGCTGTGTAGCCAGACCCGAGAGCAGTCCTCAGACACTTGTCTACTCTTGTTCCTGGCAGCGTGACTCACAGTAGCCCACACATGGAAGCAACCCCAAGGTTCTCCATGCTGAAGATCTTAGGCAGCCAGGGCATTCTGCAGTGAGTGTGTGCTGCTGGGGTGAAGGAGGCACCAATGAATGCTACAGCACAATGGGCCCCATGTGCAAAATCATCCAGACACAGAACAGCAAATACCACAGGACTGCAAGCTGATTGCCTCTGGGGCTGGAGGGAGAGGGAGAGGGAATTCAATGGGTACACAGTTACAATGGGGAATGGTTAGAAAGTTCTGGCAAAACTTACACAATATTGTGAACGCCCGTTGTACCTGAGAAATGGCCAAGCCTGATGGTTTCATCCTAAAGTTATTTACAAACGTGCCAGAAGGTGGACTGAGGGGACGTTAATCATCTGCTAATTGCACAAGCATAAAGGCTGTTTACTCTGAATCCTGAGCTGGGTGTAGCTCAAACAGTGGGTGTTTGGCACCTGTGCCCAGCACATCTGAAACACACAAGTTCCTGGACGTGAGAACTTCGATCTAGGTGCTAAACTGCTGGAACCCGAGGCCACACAACCTGAGTGTGCACACGGGC